TGAACAGAGATAAACATCAAAACTGGAACTTTCACATTTTCAATACCTTCTCTGTAAGAAAATGTAAGATTGTGATAGCATTACATAATTTTATTTTCTAGGCATGTTGGAGAGGAAACAAGCTCATCTATAATAATCTATAATAATAAAAGCATAATATGCTAATTAGACCAGCCAAATGACCTTCCGGACATAATTCTGGACATCCTTCGGGATGAAGCCGTGGTGGCGGGGGCTAGGGCAGAGGCTATTAGGGGCGATCAGACAGGCAGAGTGGTTAGGGGCAATCAGGCAGGCAGGCAGAGTGGTTAGGGGCACTCAGGCAGGCAGGCAGATGAACAGTTAGGAGCCAGAGGTCCCAGATTGTGAGAGGGATGTCTGACTGCCGGTTTAGGCCTGATCCCAGATTGCAAGAGGGTGCAAGCAGGGCTGAGGAACCCCTGCCCCCCATGCACGAATTTCATGCACCAGGCCTCTAGTTTTAACATAAAAAGCTTTGGAATTATAAAAGGATCTTAGACACAAGTTAGTAACATACTTAGTATGTTAGATTTTATCACACTAATTTCCAGTACAGAAAGCTAACTCCAAAAAGAGTTTTTCTTCAAGTTTGATGGGGGAAAAAAACAACTCAGGAAAACTGTGGTATAATCTGGTCAAAAAGGCTCAGCTCTCCATTGCTTGACGGTAAGAAAACACAGCTTTTCTGTGTAATAAACACACTAATACTACTTTCTCTTCCAGAGACAAAGTACCCAAATGAAAGGGAGTAAGAACATTTTTAATTTAATGATCTCTTTTTCTGTTTCATAACATAGAATGGGAAGGTCAAATAAGAACAAGCTAAATTTAGCCCAGCCAGCATGGCTCAGTGGTTGAGCATTGACCTATGAACCAGGAGGTCAGGATTCAATTCCCAGTCAGAGCACATGCCTGGGTTGCAGGCTCAATCCTCAGTAGTGGGCATGCAGGAGGCAGCCAACAATGAATCTCTTTCATCATTGATGTTTCTATCCCTCTTTCTCTCCCTCTCTCTCCCTTCCTCTCTGAAACCAATAAAAATATATTTAAAGAAAAAGGAATAAGCTAAATTTAGATATTACAATGTTAATGTGCTATTTATATCCATTGTGCCCAGATGGTCCTCTCAGATTGACTCTTCCTTGGGAGTGTCTTCACAGGTGAGCAGTATTTGACCAAGTGTACATGGCAACTATTTCCATCACGGTATATAAGTAGATTTTGATTATTGAAATACTCAACACAATTTGCTCTCCTAATAAAGGAGTATTTTATTTTGTGAAACAGCAGAGTTTCTGAAATTTGTATATAACATTTTCTCTATAGTATAGCAATCTATAATAATAAAAGCATAATATGCTAATTAGACCAGACATCCTTCCAGATGACCTTCTGGATGAAGCTGGGGCTGTGAGGGAAGCCCAGGTCCCAGGTGCCTGCCAGCAGCTGGAGGGAAGCCTGGGTCCCGGGTGCCAAAGGGAAGCTGGTGCCAGCAGCCAGGGAAAGGAAGGCCTACTCTTGCACGAATTTCATGCATCGGGCCTCTAGTTATCTATACAGTAATTATATAGAAAGAATCCACTGTTAAACAAAACCCTGAATTTCTCATAAAAAAAATTGTCAGAGTCAAGTCATATAATAACACTAGGCTGAATTCAGAAACTTGTGTTAGGAAAAATATTGGGGGACACAAACTGTGAGACCTCTGTGTCTTCAGTGGATAACAATGAGAATGGGAATCACTCACCTGAAGTAGCCAATGATGAGAATAGCCACAGCCAGGGAGCCAAAGGAGATGGAATATCCAACAGTGTACATGACATACAGGCGTTCAAAGAATTCTTGCTGCAGAGAAAGAGATTTAATTAGAAAAGCAGGTTTGAACAATTTGGTTGACATAAACTAAAAAAATCATGCTTTCACCAGTTTAGAGACAATGTGTTATCAAATTCATAAAATACCATGAATTATTCTTCTGGTCCCCTCTTATTTCCTAAATTCAAGTCAGGGTTAAAGATGTGAGAACAGTATTTGTCATTTCTTATTGCTTAACTGAGGTCAATCTGAGTGTTGTAATATTTACTTCTTATATTTTTGTACTGTTCATTTTAACTAATTAGAATTGTGTATTTGACATATGATATATGAAGTAAACTAAACACATGTTACAAGACTATTTTAAGAAGAAACTGGTAAAAAAAATATGTAGGAGAAACCAAGATGGCAGCATAGGTAAACACCGGAAATTGCTGCCTCGCACAACCACTTCAAAAATGCAAGTAAAAGACAAAATGGACATCATCCAGAACTACAGGAAGGCTGACTGAGTGGAAATTATACAACTAGAAGGAAAGAGAAAAGCACAGTGAGACTCAGAGAAGGTGCGGAAGTAAAGTGCAGAGGTACGGAGGCGCACGTGGAAAGGGCTGGCAACTGAGGACACGGTTGTCTTTTTCAATCAGGGGGGAGTCTCAAGCTCCTGACTGCTCTGAACTCCAGTTCCGGGTGAGTCTCTGGGTACCCAGATTCATACAGGGAGAAACTAGACTGTCTGGCATCGGTCGGAACTCCAGGGCGGCTTTCTCTCAGAGGTACTTGCAGTGATTACTGGGACACTGAGAAGTGGGGCCGCTTAGGGTAGGACTGAGGAGCAGCCATAGCTGCTTGCTTCGCCCTATTGATCCCCTGAGACCCCACCCCACCCAAGCTGTGCGCAGAGGCTTTTGCATATGAAAGTCCTGGCCCTTTGCAATCTGAAAATTACCTAACAAACTGCAACTGGGTCAGAGAGACCCAGAACTTCCAAAAGAAGGCCCAAGGCCCCACAGAGGCTTGCATTGCTTCACAGCTGGGCTCCTGCTGGGTAGCCTCAGGCAGAAGCTAAATTAGCACCTCCTTAGAGATCCAAGAGCCAATGTACCCAGTGGTCAGAGTGGGACCATCCAGATTACAACTCTTCAGATCCATAAGGGACACACTCAGGGGGCAGACTCAATGAGCACCAAAGCCCCACTGAAGCAAGTCTTGCCCCAGAAGGGTGTCTTCAGCACAGAAGTTCTCCCACTGCAGACACAGCTGATTCTCATAGACAATTGGCCTGGAGGTCAATTCCTCCCAGTGATACCTACAACTATCAAGGCTTAACTACAACAAGACTGTGCAAAGCCCAAAAAGGGGTGCACCAAGAGTGTCCACCTCTGTTAATTGGGGAGGCTGAGCCACTGGGCCCTATAGGACACCTAGCACAGAAAGCCACTCTATCAACATAGGGAAGCATAAAAAATGTGGAGACAAAGAAACAGGTCACAAATGACAGAAATGGAGGAAAGCAAACTACTGGATATAGAGTTCAAAACCACACTTTTAAGGTTTTTCAAGAATTTTCTAGAAACTGCTGATAAATTTAGTGAGACCCTCAAGAAATCTAATGAGACCCTCGATGCTATGAAAAAGGACCAACTAGAAATAAAGCATACACTGACTGAAATAAAGAACATTATACAGACTCCCAACAGCAGACTAGAGGATCACAAGAATCAAGACAAAGATTTGAAATACGAAGAAGCAAAAAACACCCAACCGGAAAAACAAAAAGAAAAAAGAATCCAAAAATATGAAGATAGTGTAAGGAGCCTCTGGGACAACTTCAAGTGTACCAACATCCGAATAATGGGGGTGCCAGAAGAAGAGAGAGAGCAAGATATTGAAACCCTCTTTGAAGAAATAATGACAGAAAACTTCCCCTACCTGGTGAAAGAAATAGACTTACAAGTACAGGAAGTGTAGAGAACCCCAAACAAAAGGAATCCAAAGAAGACCACACCAAGACACATCATAATTAAAATGCCAAGAGCAAAAGACAAAGAGAGAATCCTAAAAGCAGCAAGAGAAAAACAGTCAGTTACCTACAAGGGAGTACCCATACGACTGTCAGCTGATTTCTCAACAGAAACTATGCAGGCCAAAAGGAAGTGGCAAGAAATATTCAAAGTGACAAATACCAAGAACCTACAACCAAGATTACTTTACCCAGCAAAGCTATCATTCAGAATTGAAGGTCAGATAAAGAGCTTCACAGATAAGAAAAAGCTAAAGGAGTTCATCACCACCAGACCAGTATTATATGAAATGCTGAAAGATATCCTTTAAGAAGAGGAAGAAGAAGAAAAAGGTAAAGATACAAATTATGAACAACAAATACACATCTATCAACAAGTGAATCTAAAAATCAAGTGAATAATCTGATGAACAGAATAAACTGGTGAATATAATAGAATCAGGGGCATAGAAAGGGAGTGGACTGACTATTCTTGAGGAGAGGGGAAAGGAGTGTGGGGGGTGCAGGAAGAGACTGGACAAAAATCGTACATCTATGGATGAGGATAGTGAGGGGGAAAGGGCAGAGGGTAGGGTGGGAACAGGGTGGAGGGGAGCTATGGGGGGGAAAAAGAGGAACAACTGTAATAATCTGAATAAAGATTTAATTTAAAAAAAGAAAGAAAAAAATAATAGGAAGAAAAAACAGGTTAAAGATAAAATAATAGAGAGAAGCTACAAATATCACATCATTCTGTTGTGCACCTGAAAAGAGTGTGTTATATGTCCATTATATTTCAATAAAACATAAAGTTTAAAAAAAAGATTAAAAGAAGAATATGTAATTTTGTAGAATATTATTTCTGGCTTTCTTTAACTTCCTTATTGAGCTGTAATTTATATGAACTAAAATGTACAAGCCCTTTTATAAGTATGTGGGTTTTGACAAACCAAGTTCACTGTGACCCTACAAGTCAAAAACCACCCACCACCAACCCCCAGCTAACTCCTGTTGCAATTTCTAGCATCATAAATTGCTTATCTATTCATGTATTTCATATACTTTTTGACTGTCCATGGAGTTCTTAGAATTATATAGTATACACTCTTTTTGTCAACATGCTGTTTAGATACCCAGTGATATTTCACAAATCAATGATAAATTCCTTTTAAACTTTTTATTTAAAAAAGTTATAAATTCAAAATCTTCAAAGTGCATGAAAGCTGCTCCTCCCAGAGGGTCCAGACTGAATGTTCTTGAGCGTCTCCAGGAAGGCCTGCGAAGATGGTGCCTCCACATTCTGGAAGGTGTTCTGGACTCTGCTGAACAGGATGAAATAATTCAACTCAGGCCAGATGAACCCGAAGTGGTTCTCATCGAACAGGATGAAGACTCCCAGGTGGCGCCCGGTGTAGGCGAAGCCATTTAAGGTAGCAGTATAAGTAACAGTGTCCACGCCATAGAAACACATCCTGCAGGTTCGGGGGTAGTTCTGGTCTCTTGAGAGCACATCTGCTGGCAGAACAAACGGAACAGGCTGCTCCTCCGAAGCTGCAGCCAAGGACTCTATGACGCTGGGCTGGGCTGGGCTCTGCCAGCCATGGCCCTCGCTTTCCTCAGTCCCGTCTTCTTGCTGCTGCTGCTGCTGCTCCCGGATCACCTGCTTGTCGATCTCCTGGACCACGCGGGAGAGCTCACTGAAGTTGCGGAAGATCTCGCCATCTGGCAGCTGGATGCGGCGCATGAGGTGGATCTCTAAACTGTGGTTGGAGTTTCCCGTGACCTTCGTGAGCCTGGCATACTTCCCATGGAAGCTGAGCATGGCAATCGATAGGCCGTAGGCATTGCAGTTGCATTGGAAGAGGCCTGGCCTGATGAGGTCGTCCCGGTGGCTGGGCGGGAGGTAGAGGCGGCGGTAGGTCAGGCAGTCATACTGCTGTCTGACCTCCTGCGCCAGCACCCGCCCCCATTCGTCCCTAAGCCGCGTTGGTGAATCCTTTCGGTGGTCTGTCTTCTTGCACAGGGTGGTGAACCTGTCCTTCTGAATCTGCATGTGGCAGTTGTGGGGCCTGCTGTGGCGGCCTTCCATGCACTCCACCGCGGCTGATTTCCGCTCCGTCAGGCGAATTCTGAACGCGGGCTCGAATTGCATTGGGCCATCCACCTGGGTGTTAAGGCAAGGCCTGAACGTCCAACCAGTAATGCCTAAGCCGTCCACCACGACATTCAGCAGTGTTCTATAGCCCTCAGTATCTAGCTGCCACAATCCCAAAATGTGTCTGTATGGGTGGAGCAACTTCGCATAGACTTCTCGATAAGACATACCGATCGTCTCCAGGTTCTGCAAGTTTTCACAAACGCCAAACTCCTCCCGGCAGCGCCGTCTCCAGATGCTGTCGATGTGCAGGATGTGGTGGAATTTGGTGCAGGCCAGGGCCAGGCTGGGCAGATCGGTGACGGGGAGCGAGGCGAAGATCTCCACCAGCATTTCCACCGGCAGGTCCTGCAGCGAGCAGTGCGGGGGCGGCGGCAGCAGCATGGGACTTGCGATTTCTCCACTCCCCGCACAGCACCCCGCTGCCTCGTCCGCCTCGATGTGCTTTTCTGCCGGGGCCGGGGCTGGCTTGCCATCGGCCGCTGCCATCTCAGCGGGGCGCTGGCGCTTCTGACGACAGGACTTGCCATCGGCTGCTGCCTTCTCAGCTGGGCCCTGGCACTCCTGACAACACTGACATCCCCGCAAAGAGCCCACAACACAGAGGCAAGCGCACCCCTCCATGCCTCCAGGAGTAACAGCCACCACAGCCTGGCCACTGCGCTTTAAGCTGGCTCATCCCGCCCTGAGAGTCACGCCCCCCAGGGCCTAGCCACGCCCCCTCAGAGGAGCCAATTGTAGGACATTAGCAGCACTTCCAAAAGAAACCCACACCCATTAACAGTCGCCTCCCTTTCCCAGTGCCCCCTCCCTGTCCTCCCGCCCTAGCCCCAGGCAGTCACTAATCTGCTTTCTGTATGGATATGCCTCCAGGGATATGCCTATGGGGAGGGGGGGCAGACATTTCACATAAATGCAGTCATAATATCTGGTCTTTTGTGACTGGCTTCTTTCACTTAGCATAACATTTTAAAGTTTTATGTATGCTATATTCTAGTATATGGGTATACCACATTTTGTTTTTTGGGGTTTTTTGTTGTTGTTTTTTTTAATTAAATCTTTATTGTTCAGATTATTACATTAGTTACTCTTTTTTCCCACTATAACTCCCCTCCACCCAGTTCCCACCCCACCCTCCGCCCTCACTCCCCACCCACTGGCCTCATCCATAGGTGCACGATTATTGTCCAATCTCTTCCCTTACCCCACACCCCTCGCCGCCCCCCCGCCCCCCCCAGAATAGTCAGTTCATTTCTTTTCTAGGTCCCTGATTCTATTACAATCACCAGTTCATACTGTTCATCAGATTATTTATTCACTTGATTTTTAGATTCACTTATTGATAGATGTGTATTTGTTGTTCATAATTTGTATCTTTACCTTTTTCTTCTTCTTCCTCTTCTTAAAGGATGCCTTTCAGCATTTCATATAATACTGGTTTGGTGGTGATGAACTCCTTTAGCTTTTCCTTATCTGTGAAGCTCTTTATCTGGCCTTCACTTCTGAATGATAGCATTGCTGGATAAAGTAGTCTTGGTTGTAGGTTCTTGGTATTCATCACTTTGAATATTTCTTGCCACTCCCTTCTGGCCTGCATAGTTTCTGTTGAGAAATCAGCTGACAGTCGTATGGGTACTCCCTTGTAGGTAACTGATTTTCTTTCTCTTGCTGCTTTTAGGATTCTCTCTTTGTCTTTTGCTCTTGTCATTTTAATTATGATGTGTCTTGGTGTGGTCCTCTTTGGATTCCTTTTGTTTGGGGTTCTCTGCGCTTCCTGTACTTGTAAATCTATTTCTTTCACCAGGTAGGGGAAGTTTTCTGTCATTATTTCTTCAAAGAGGTTTTCAATATCTTGCTCTCTCTCTTTTTCTGGCACCCCTATAATTCGGATGTTGGTACACTTGAAGCTGTCCCAGAGGCTCCTTACACTATCTTCGTATTTTTGGATTCTTTTTTCATTTTGCTTTTCCGGTTTAGTGTTTTTTGCTTCTTCATATTTCAAATCTTTGACTTGATTCTTGCGATCCTCTGGTCTGCTGTTGGGAGTCTGTATAATGTTCTTTATTTCAGTCAGTGTATGCTTAATTTCTTATTGGTCCTTTATCACAGCATCGAGGGTCTCATTAGATTTCTTGAGGATCTCACTACATTTATCGGCGGTCTCACCAGTCTTCTTGAAGATCTCACTGCATTTATCGGCGGTCTCACCAGTCTTTTCGAGGGCCTTATTAAATTTATCAGCGGCTTCTAGACAGTTCTTTAAAGACCTTAAAAGTGTGGTTTTGAACTCTATATCCAGCAGTTTGCTTTCCTCCCATTCTGTCATTTGTGTCCTGTTTCTTTGTCTCGGCATTTTTTATGCTTCGCTGTGTCGATAGAGTGCCTTTCTGTGCTAAGTGTCCCAATTACTTGAGGTAGACACTCTTGGTGCACCCCCTTGTGGGCTTTGTGCACAGTCTTGTTGTAATTAAGCCTTGATTGTTGTAGTTATCTCTGTGAGTAATTGACCTCCAGGCCAATTGGCTGTGAGAATCAGCTGTGTCTGCAGTGGGAGAACTTCTGTGCTGGAGACACCCCTCTGGGGCAAGACTTGCTTCGATGGGGCTTTGGTGCTCACTGAGTCTGCCCCCTGAGTGTGTGTTTTATGGTTCCACGGAACTGCAAACTAGATGGTCCTACTCTGACTTTTGGGCTTCCTGGCTCCTGGATCTCTAGGGAGGTGCTAATCTAGCCTTTGCCTGAGGCTATCCAGCAAAAGTCTCCCTGCAGGGCTTGGGTGGGGCGGGTCCCACGGGATCAACAGGGCGGGCAGAGGGAGCAGTTATGGCTGCTCTCAGTCTTGCCCTCAGAGGCTCTGTTTCTCAGTGTCCCGGTAATCACTGCAAGCCCCACGGAGAGAAAGCTGCCCTAGGGTTCTGAGCGATGCCAGGCAGTCCCGCTTCTCCCGTTTGAGTCTGGGTCCCTGGAGACTCGCCCGGAAGTGGAGCTCAGAGCCTGAGACTCCCCCATGATTGAAAACAACAACCACGCCCTCAGCCGCCAGCCCGCTCCGCATGCACTCTGCACCTTAGTATTTTACTTCAGCACTGTGCCTCCTCTGAGTCTCGGTATGCTTTCTCTTTCCTCCTAGTTGTAGAACTTCTACTCAGCCAGCCTTCCTGTAGTTCTGGATGATGTCTGTTCCGTCTTTTAGGGTTTTTTTTGAAGTGGTTGTTTGAGGCAGCAAACTCTGGTGTTTACCTATGCGGCCATCTTGGTTTCTCCTACCACATTTTGTTTACCCATTCATCAGTTGATGAATATTTGGGTTGTTTCCAGTTTGAGGCTCTTTTGAATAACGCCGCTATGAACAGTGTGTACAAGTTTTTTGTGTGAACATGTTTCCATTTCTTTTGGGTATGTACCTAGAAGTGGAACTTCTGGGTCATCTGGTAACTCTATGCTTAGCATGTTGAGGAACTGTCAAAAACGTTTTCCAACGTGGCCCCGCTATTTTACATTTCCACCAGCATTGTACGAGGGGTCCAATTTTTAAACATTCTCATGAATGCTTTTTTAAAAAATATATTATAGCCATCCTATTGAGTGTTGAGCGGTATTTTATTATAGTTTAGAGCAGAGTTATTGACTGTAGGTTGACTTGACCTTGAACTCCATCAGGGAAATCTCTTCTATGATCAGCCTTCACCCAGCCTCTGCCAAATCTCTCAGGCCCCTGGTAGGAATGGGCTCCTACATGTGAGCAAGGATGGATTCGAGTTCTTCACTTTCAGTTGACCTCAGTTCTTCACTTTCAAGTGACTAACCTTGCTAGTTCCTTGGGTGAATGGATGCCCTCAAAAAAAAAGTTCACAGGATCTGCCCACTATGAACATAAGTTTCCTATGGGCTGAGACTGGCCCTGCCCATTCAGACAGGCTTCCATTTTCATGTTGAGAGCAGCTAGATCCCTTCTCTCCACTTTTCTGGATTCCTACCAGAGAAACACTCTCACCTTTGGAGGGTCCTCTTAGTGCCCTAGGAGGAATTTGATTTGCCTTTATCAGGAATAGACATCTAGGGTGGTTTATTTGATAGAGGGGTATAAATTCCATCTGCCACAGACACTGACTTCGATCATTTAAACACTAAAATTTCCCAATCCCTCCTTTGAAGAATAGTCCTATGTTATTATTGGTATGTAACTGGGTAATGGGTGTAAAGACTCTTCTTTTAGGGTCCTGTATTGATGGGGTTTCGAGGGAAGATCTCCAAGGGTACATGTGAGTCTGATAGGTCAAGGAGAACCTAGGAATGTGAGTGCAGCTGGTGTATGGCGCTAGGAGGGCTTGATCGGCTAGTGAAGAGATCCAATCATCTTTTCTCTCCCAGGATTGAGAGAGCCAGGGACACCACTGCCCTAGGAAGAAATCTGTGTAGGAAGGTCAAAGGCAGGTCAATAGATGAAAGGAGAGACAGAGGCTGCTGCTATGGTTAGAGGAGAAAAAAAAAAGAATATTGGGGGATTAGTTATGGTTATGGGAAATATTAATTGTGCTCTGTTAACCATGATTGCCTTGTGTTGGTTTAAGAAAGGACATTCTGACCTGGCTAAGAGTTGTATGCCCCTGGGACCTGGGAGTCAGTCTTGGACCAGGGCGTTAGCCTTGGAATGTGGTCCATTCTCATTCAAGAACAGCCTATTATCATGGAAAGATTAATAACTTTGTTGCCCAAACAATGGAGTCTCACCCCAGCCTCCTACTTCTCCATGCCTGTAAGCCCTACTTCCCCAGGTAATCTTTGTTTTACCACAGATAAGCAGCTGGCTTATAGGGGGCTGCAAAGCAGATTTTTGTGGATGACCTGTTGCTCTCCCATACTGTTGGCATTATAGGAATAAACACTCATATATGATTCAAAAAAAAAGTTATAAATTCAAAAGAAGTGGAAACAATAGTAAGAAAGGTCAAATATACCCTTCACCCAAGATCCTCCAGGGGTTACAGCTAACATAATTAGACCAAAATATCAACACCAGGAATTTGACGTTGGTGCAACTTGTGTATTTATAGTTCTATGTCATTTTAACACATAAGTAAATTTTAATAACCATCAAGGCAATCACGACAGGAAATGATTCCATCACCACAAAGATCTCCCTCATGCTGTCCCTTTACAGTCAGGCCGACCCTCCTCCTCCTCACCATCCCAAACACCTGGCAACTGTTAGGTTGGAGAGAGCCCAGGATCGGATACATGCAGACCATGCAGACATGTGACGAGATAATGGACTACCCCTGGCATTTCTGGCAGATCAGCATGCCAGACACAGATGCTGGCTTCTCCCTGAATCCACAACGACCCCCACACAGATACTGACTCCTTCCTGAACACCTTGCTGACCCCCTGCAGCTGAAATTTCCTCAGCGGAATACCTCAGCTTGTGTCCCCGCCCCTCACCCAACCGCAGTATAAAAAAAGCTCCCCCCTCCCTGTTGGCGTGGTGATCCACGTGCCCTGTCCTTGGGGGTAGGTGGGGACGCAGAATAAACTTTCCTTCCTTCCTTTCTTTTCTGATTCACTCAACTCTTTATTTCTGATGCCACCTCCTGAGCCACCTAACCTAACAGCAACCATGAATCTATTTTCTAGCTCTATAATTTTGTCATCACGCATTTTACACATGAGGTCTGAGTAATAGGAGTTTAAGCATGACTTTTAAAAAAATATATTTTCATTTATTTTAGAGAGAGGGGAAAGGAGAGGAATAGAAAGACAGAAACATCGATTAGAGAGAACATCAATTTGCTGCCTCCTGCATACCCCCTAATGGGGATCGAGTCCACAACCCAGGCATGTGAGCCCCGATCAGGAATCAAACCATGACTTCCTGGTTCGTGGGTCACGCTCAACCACTGAGCCATCCCGGTTGGGCTAAGTATGACTTTTAAAGCACCATGTATAACTTAAAAGTAACTACCCAGAAGTTTCAAATTTTACATACAATTACTACCCTAGAAACAGCTCTGCTGAGGGATTTGTAGATCAGGGCTCTGCTTTAGGCCTGCC